ACATTTATTCCGTATAGATTTAATAACAGAGGTTCTAAGTCAACATACTTGTGGATAATTAATATGGCTAAAGAATGGTTTTATGAATGATAAAAGGTCTTGGTTCCGGGGCCCAGAGTAAACACCATTAATGGGTAATTCCCATTTGACCTTCCCGCAAGAGGGCTATCCAGCACAAAGTTTACATGAGTAAACAAGTTAGAGTAGGGACAAAGGAATGTGGGGTAGACAGACTTAACGGGGGGGGGGGGGGAAGCTTTTATTATCCTAATCTTCACTCAGTGACTTAATGCTCTAATGTTAAGAATTGGCTGCCTTCAGCCCATCTCATTAAAACCGTTGAGCCTTCCAAAAGGTTTCAGACTATAATCTATAATTTCCCTAATATTTCCCTTAACACTTTGCCAACCACCCCAAGTGAATTCCAACATTATGTGGCTTTCTGAGCATCTAGTTCTATTTTTATCTTTTCTGGACTCTCTTACTTTCTCTCCACAAGTATTTGTTCCAATGAACACATCTCAATCGATCTACCTGCCTCAACCTCCCAAGTGTTGGGATTACAGGCATGAGCCACTGCGTCAGCTTGCACCGTTCTTCTTCTTTTTCTGTTTTTGTTTTTGTTTTTTTGAAATGAAGTCTCCCTCTGTCACCCAGGCTGCAGTGCGGTGGTGCGATCTCGGCTCACTGCAACCTCCGCCTCCCGAGTTCAAGTGATTCTCCTGTCTCAGTCTCCTGAATAGTTGGGATTACAGTCATGTGCTACCACACCTGGCTAACTTTTGTATTTTTAGTAGAGAAGGAGTTTCGCCCTGTTGGCCAGGCTTGTCTCGAACTCCTAAGCACAAGCCATCTGCCTGCCTTCACCTCCCAAAGTGTTGGGATTACAGGCGTGAACCACCACTCCTGGCTACAACATCATTCTTAATTTCAATGTCTAGTCTAGACATTTGAAACAATCGAACATATTAGATTGTATCAAAACAATATCTTGTTAAAGAGAATGAGCCTCTCCACCCAACCTGAAATAGATGGAGGCAGTGCTGACTTTAACCTAAATCTTAAATGAAATGTGCTCCACTCAATTTTCTTGTAGAGAGGCTGACTGCTTTATTAGAAAACGGGAGAGCATTGACCTTTTTCTATGATTCTCCTCTGATCACCCTGGATAGAATTCCTTTCACTTTCTAACCTGTGTCTATTTCAACCCAGGATACATTCAGCTTGTTGTCTGTAACACTTTGTTGCACTTTTTAATAGCCATGACTGACACTGATCATCTGCTGAGAGAGCAGCTCTTCTGACTCCATTCTTTGTGACTACAAAATCTACCCTGGAAGTCAGATGCTCTGCTGGCATTTTATAAATATTCCACGAACAAATGAACTCTGGCTTTGGGGTAAAAGAGTCAGTTGCCCATCAGTTGACAGATCCCTGGATATTTTTTCATAAAAATCACCCTAGCGGGTTGCTTATTGCAAAATGACATGTGTCGTATCTTCTCCAGCTCTGAATATTGTTAAGCAAAATTTATGTTAATGAGAAACAAACAAAAAACAGTGTCTGTTAGTTTGTTTTGCTTTGCTTCAGCAAGAATTATCTCCTGCATCAGAAATTCAGGGATAGGACACTTAGTCATCTGTGAGTCACTTAAATGTTCCCTTCAGCTCCTGGAAGAGTGGGCAGTTCTGATTCCATATCACTGAGATGGTTTCTGGAGCCCTCTTCATCCCATAACTCCAAAGAGTAACAGTCAGAACGTTTTATTAGGGGGCAGCTGAAATTGTTCAGGGAATGTGGCTAGGGAGTGTTGTGACCTTTACATCAAAGGCTATGCAGAGATAACACACCAGTCTCGCTTTCACCCATGAGAGAAGTGAACTCCAAGGGTTTCAGTAAATTAGCCATGTCGATGATACGCATTGCATTTGTTACAATCTCTGTTTCCTGGTCAGATGCTACACTTCAAAAGAAATGCAAAGTTTGATAAAACAGACATGCTATCAATTTAATCAGAGGAGCTTTATCTTGAGTGGGTCACCATATCCAGCATGACAATAAAGTCTTCCATGTATTTCTTGTCCTACTGGAAAAAAAAAATAGAAAAGCTATGTACAAGGACTATATTAAGATTCACCTGTGTCTTTCAGAGATAGCAGGCAAGTGTCAGTTTCTGAACAGTTTGGGTCAAGTCAGACACATGCCCCCTACCCCCATGACTATTCAATGGACACCAGAACACTGCAAATCATGACCTTTAAGAGGACTGCCTTTGACTTACACAACTCAAGAAACACCACCTGGCTTGGTCAAAGGTTTGTTCCTTTTCACTGTGCATTTTAGCGTTTTCTTTTCCTGCTCTTAAGACAGTTTCGTGCCATGGCATTATTGCATTAAATAAGCATGACTACTTAGGTAGCGTGAACGGTAGTTTAGAATTGAGCTAAGTGCGGCTATGTCACTTGTTTCTCTTTTTTTTTCTTTAAGAGATGGGGTCTTGCTGTCGCCGTGTTACCCAGGTTGGACTACAGTGGCTATTTACACGTGTGATTCCACCACTGATCAGCATGGGAGTTTTGACCTGCTGCATCTGTGACTTAGCCTGCATTCACCTGGCCTTAGGCAGCCTGGTGGCCTTCTGCTCCTGGGAGGTCACCGTGTTGGTGCTCAATTTAGTGCGGACACTCGATCAGCGTAGCGTAGCGCACCTTAGCCCAGAACTTCTGGCCCCAAGCCACCCCCCGCCCCAGTCTCCTGAGTAGCTGGCACCACAGGCATGGTACTTGCTGTCTTTGTCAACATAAAAGAGAATCAGAAAAGGCAGAACACAGCAACATCAGTAAATCTAGGCTGAGCATGATGGCTCACACTTATAATCCCAGCACTTTGTGAGGTCAATGCAGGAGGATTCCTTGAGGACAGGAGTTCAAGACCAGCCTGGGCAACATAGAGAGACCTCATCTCTACAAAAAAATAATAGAAAATAGAAAAATTACCCAGGTGCAGTGGTGCATACCTATAGTTCCAGCTATTCCAGAGGCTAAGACTAGAGGATCTTTTGAGCTTAGGAGGCTGAGGCTACAGCGAGCTACTATCATACCACTGCACTCCAGCTTGGGTGACAGAATGAGACCCTGTCTCTAAGAGAAAAAGAAAAAAAGAGATTAGTAAAATCTTTAGAAACCAAGATTTTGCCATGAGCAGATGCACGAAGGTGGAAAATATTTCTGGGAATTATAAGTAGGCATTCTGAAAGAAGCTCTCAAAGTGAACACTCATTCCGCGGAGAAACAGAGTGAATCAAGAGAGTCCTGGAAGCTGGGAGAAGAGGAATCCGTTGAAAGCAGAGAAACTAATTCACCAATGAGACTGCAGACCAACTGTCCTGAGCTGCCATGGGAATCTGTATTCCAGACACTTTTATTCTTTGTATTTTATTGTTTGGGTTGAAAATGCACCTGGGCACGGTGACTCATGCTTATAATCCCAGCACTTTGGGAGGCCAAGATGGGAGGATTGCTTGAACCCAGGAGTTTGGGACTAGCCTGGGAAACATGGTGAGATTACGTAAAAATACAAACATTATCCATGGACTGGTGGGTGCCTGTAGTCCCAGCTATTTGGGAGGCTGAGGCAGGAGGGTCGCTTGAGCCTGGGAAGTCGAGGCTGCAGTGAGTTGTGATCACCACCATTACACTCCAGCCTGGGTAACATAGAGAGACTGAGTCTAAAAAAAAAAAAAAAAAAAATCTGGTTTCTAGAGTTTATGAAATCATACAATAGCATGTTTAATAGAGTGTTCATCTCACAAAATGGTGTTTTGTTGAGAGAGAGTTACATATGCCCTCTGATACTCTCAAATTTTATTTAAAATGCTGGGAGAGTTGCTATCTGGCTTTGGTCAGTGTTGTTTAATATAATAGCCATCCATTTGAGGCAGGGTGTTGACGAACAGTACACCTATGATCTTCCAAATTATTCCCCACACTTTGTCTTGTTGAATTTTTTTTGAGATGCTATTTCTTTCTTGTCACCCAGGCTGGAGTGCAATGGCGCAATCTCGGCTCACTGCAACCTCCGCCTCCCGGGTTCAAGCGATTCTTCTGCCTCAGCTTCCTGAGTAGCTGAGATTACAGACATGTACAACGATGCCTGGCTAATCTTTGTATTTTTAGTAGAGATGGGGTTTCACCACGTTGTTCAGGATGGTCTTGAACTTCTGACTTCAGATAATCAGCCCTTCTCAGCCTCCCAAAATGCTGGGATTACAGGTTCGAGTCACTGCACCAGTCTTATTAAATATTATTACGGTATAATGACAGGGAAGACCTTCCACTCCACTGCCACCTTTTTTTTTTTTTTTTTTTTTTTTTGAGGCGGAGTTTCGCTCTTGTTACCCAGGCTGGAGTGCAATGGCGCGATCTCGGCTCACCGCAACCTCCGCCTCCTGGGTTCAGGCAATTCTCCTGCCTCAGCCTCCTGAGTAGCTGGGATTACAGGCACGCGCCACCACGCCCGGCTAATTTTTTGTATTTTTAGTAGAGACGGGGTTTCACCATGTTGACCGGGATGGTCTCGATCTCTTGACCTCGTGATCCACCCGCCTCGGCCTCCCAAAGTGCTGGGATGACGGGCTTGAGCCACCGCGCCCGGCCCCCTGCCACCTTTAATTGAGAGCACAGATGTCTCTGAAGCACTGCTATAGACCATGAGGTCACCGTAATGCAAGGGACATGATTACTCTGGCTCAAAAGAGCCAGTCTGAATCCTGGTGTGATGAATGGGTTTGGTGCTTGTCACAGATAGAACATTCAGCGTCAGCAAGACAGGCTGCAGGTGTCTTGCTAAATGTAATGTTTCGTTGTTGCTGTACTGCTGTTTTTTGCTTTTCTTTTCCTGGATGTGTAGTAAGAGTTGCAAATGCAGGTGCAGATTGCCTCATTTGTACATTATCAACATGAACCATCTGGGTGAGCCAAGCAGGGACCAGCCCTCCGGAGGCAGAGGGAGGTGGGACAGAGAGAGGCTAACGCTTTTATAATGATTTGAGGCGGCTGCCAGAAGAGGCAAAGCCTTTGCAGAACAGCCTCTCATCAGCAGCCTGTCTGTTCTCTTCTAAGATACTAGAGAGACAATATGACTAATAGGTAAGTTGGGAAAGGCTTGTTCCCATACATTTTTTCAGGCTTTTTTTCTTTTTTAACCTCTGGTTGAAATGGGCAGAGTTGAAAGTTCCTTTGACCTTGTATTCTGAAACTTAATGGATCAGCTAAGGCATTGATCTTGATTCTAAACCAGTTTTAGTGTGGGTAAGAGTCTTCTTTCTGTCACTCTCATACCCTCTCTTCTTTCTTCCCTCGCTCCCTCTCTACTTTTTCTTTCTTAACCAAGAACGTGTGTGTGTGTGTGTGTGTGTGTGTGTGTGTGTGTGTGTGTGTGTGTATGTAGTCTGTGGCCAGAGTATCCACACTTTGGAGGAATGAGTTTGTATTTTGTTCTTAGTGTTATTTTAAGGTACAACTATGGGTAGTTTCACAGACTGAAGATGGGCTTTTCTTTCATTGTAACTCATTTTGCTGTCATATACCTTAGTCCTAACCTCCTGCCACCGCCAATTAAATGCAATCATTAGTCAGTCAGTGGTTTTGAACTTGGATTAATGCAGTCAAAAAAGAGGCAGCTCAATTTGAGTAACTGCCTCTTTTCTTATTCAGGACACAGAGGCTTTCTGAGTTTAAACTTTAGACTTGGCAGGACATGGAGACAATTCCCTAGTGCCAGCATGTTTCAGGGCAGGTTTCGCCACTGAGGCAACTCATGCAAGAGCCCCAGGACTTGGGGTAGCAGGATTTTTTTTGTTTGCTTGTTTTTTTTTGTTTGTTTGTTTTGTTTTGTTTTGAGACAGTCTCACTCTGTCTCCCAGACTGGAGTGCAGTGGCATAATCTCAGCTCACTGCAACCTCTGCCTCCCAGGCTCAAGCAATTCTCCTGGCTCAGCCTCCCAAGTAGCTGGGATTACAGGCATAAGCCACCATGGCCAGCCACAAGGAGTTCTTTTTAAAATGGACCAAAAGATGGGAGGAACGCATGAGGTAGGGAGTTCGAGACCAGCCTGGCCAACATGGTGAAACCCCGTCTCTACTAAAAATACAAAAATCAGCCAGGCATGGTGGTGCATGCCTGTAATCTCAGCTACTCAGGAGGCTGAGGCAGGAGAATCGCCTGAACCCGGGAGGAGGAGGTTGCAGTAAGCCGAGATCGCGCCGCTGCACTCCAGCCTGGGTGCCAGGGCAAGACTCCCTGAAAAAAAAAAAAAAAAAAAAAGGATCAAAAGAATGAACTCATTGAGAGTTCAGGACTCATGCAGTAGTGGCCTTGGAAAATCAATTTTAAAATGTTGGAATTAGGGATATGGCTCCCAAGTCTAGTGAGAATTTTATGCTGGGAACTAATTTAATCAACACACAAATGACTTTTTTTTTTTTTTTTTTTTTTTTTGGTCTTTTTAATCCTATATCTTCTGCCAAAGACAACAGGAAGGTCTTCAGAGCTGCACATTGAGGGTCAGTTAGGTAAAGCCAGACACTATATTGTGAGCACATTGAATCTACTGTATAATTTTGTGTGTTTGTGAATGCAGCCTTACAGATAGTGGTACTTGATATCGTCTGTCTTTTTTTCTTTTTTCTTTTTCTTTTCTTGTAACCTACTATAAGTCAACATGCTGCTTTTACATGGCTGGCCATAAGATGTCTAAGTTCATTCTTTGGACTTAGTAAGTGTGTGATTTTTTAAAAAGGGTAGGAGAGAGTTAGGCAATTGATATAAATGTAAACTGTAAATTTCCAACAGATACATACGAGTTAATCTTTATTTTTACTGATTTTGGAGACAGGGTTTCACAAGGTTTTTCTCTGTCTCCCAGTGTAGACTAAAGTGCTGCAATCATAGCTCACTGCAACCTCCAACTCCTGGGCTTAAGAGTTTCTCCAGCCTCAGCCTCCAGAGTAGCTGGGACCTCAGGTGCTCACCACCACACCCAGCTAATTTTTTATCTTTATTTTTTGTAGAGACGTGTTCTCATTATGTTGCCCAGGCTGGTCTTGAACTCCTAGGCTCAAGCGGTCCTCCCACCTCAGCCTCCCAAAGTGCTGGGATTACAGGTGAGAGCCACCGCTGTGCCCGGCCGTGTATATGATTTTAAAGTACTGTAAAAACAGGAGGTGATAAAACAATTCAACTAACTTCTCGCAAATGAAGAGCATTTCTGTAACTTGGGATTTGGCCCACGGTCCTGAGCATGTAGCTTTTGCCTGCAAGACATTCTCAGTCTTAGGAGATGTTTGCATAAAGCAAAACAATTGTCATCTTCTGTGGCTACCAGGGTTTCAGAGTGTTTATAATGGACTCTGAGAGCCAGCAGGGATGAACTGCTGTTTGTACTTTTCCTCTCAGAGGAGATATTTGAAGTGGGTTTTGAAACATGTATAGAGATGAGCTAGAGATTGAATCAGCAATCCACAGGTCCAATACTCATTACCTGATGACTGAGTAGGGATATGCTGAGAAGAAGGTTACATGCTTCCTGAAGAAAACATGACCTCAGCCGGGACTCAGCAGAGTTGTGAAGTGGACTCAAGTGGTCCTCAGATTCCATGCTCTTTTCTTTCCTCAGTTCACATCTTTCCCCAACTTCCACTTTTCCTTTGCTTGGTAATTCCTTTTTTCTTTTTTTCCTGCGGGTTTTTCTTTTTCTCTCTCTCTCTCTTGAGACAGGGTCTCGTTCTGTAACCCAGGCTGGAGTGCAGTGGTGTGATCTCAGCTCACTGCAGCCTTGAATGCCTGAGCTTAAGTGATTCTCCTACCTCAGCCTCCAGAGTAGCTGTGACTACAGGCATGCACCACCACGCCCAGCTCATTTTTACATTTTTTGTAGGGATGGGTTCTCACTGTGTTGCCCAGGCTGGTGATGAACTGGTTCTCCTGTCTCAGCCGCCCAAAGAGCTGGGATTACAAGTGTCGGCCACTGCAACCTGACTTTTTAAAAATTGCATGTATGCATCCTTTTTGTATTCTTCTTTTATTTTTATTTTTGTCTTTCTTTTATTCTTTTAAATTCATTTTTCTTTTTAATTTTTTTTCCTTTTTAAGTTTCTTTTTCTTTTTTTTTTATTGTCCCTGGAGTCAAACAAGCTGACATATAAACATGGTATAGATTTATGGTGTTTTGAAATCTGCCTGGATTTTGGAATGGCTCAATCATGCTAATGCGCGTTGCCTCATCCACTTACCTATTTGTGATGAGAACTTTGAATAGATTTGATCAATAATTTTGAATTCTAAAATACATTCTTATTAACTATCGTCACCACAACTGCAATACAGTCTTTGAACTTGTTTCTCCTGTCAAATTGAAATTTCTATCCTTCAACCAGCATCTCCTCAATCCCTTCCACGCTGGCCCCCCAGGCCCCAGCAGGCATCATTCTACCCTTTGTTTCTATGAGAGCAACTTTTTGAGATTCCACACGGAAGTGAGCTCATGTGTCATTGGTCTTTCTGTGCCGGGCTTATTTTCCTTAGCATAATGACCTCCAGGTTCCCCTATGTTGTCATCAATGACAGAATTTCATTCTTTTTTCAAGGCTGAATAGTATTCCACAGTGTTATATGTACCACATTTTCTTTATCCATTCATCCAGTGATGGACACCGAGGTTGATTTCACAGGTTGGCCATTGTGAATAGTACTGTAAGGAACACACGCACCCACACACCCTTAAATTAGAATAAAAATTCTAATTTTAGAATTAAAAGGTTAAATCCCTTAACCTTACAGGCTCATTTAAGTCGCTTAAATGAGGTTAGGTCCCTGGAAGAGGGAGTTAACCTCAGTCTTCTTACCATCGCCATCCTCTGCAATGATTTTGCCTCTGAGTACATGTTTTCGGACTTCCCTCCTGGAAGGGAATCTACTTTAGCCTTCAGAAAAATGTTCAGTAGTTTTTGGGGGACAGGTGGTGTTTGATTACATGGATAAGTTCTTTAGCGGTGACTTCTGAGATTTTGATGCACCTGTCACCGGAGCGGTGTACACTGTACACAACGTGTAGTCTTTTGTGCCTCACTCCCCTCCCACCCTAAGTCCATGTGTCATTTTTATGCCTTTGCGTCCTCATAGCTTAGCTCCCACTTATGAGTGAGAACATACGATGTTTGGTTTTCCATTCGTGAATTACTGCACCTAGAAGAGAAGTAGAGACGGGGTTTAGTCCAGAAAGGGTTTCACCATGTTGACCAGGCTGGTCTCGGAACTCCTGGCCTCAGGTCATCCACACACCTCAGCCTTCCAAAGTGCTAGAATTATAGGTGTGAGCCACCACACCCACCTGCAAATCTCTTTTATATATAGCGATTTCTTTTCCTCTGAGTAGATACCCAGGAGTGGGATTCCTGGATCAAATGGCAGATCTACTCTTAGTTCTTTAAAGAATGTTCACACTGTTTTCTATAGTGGTTGTACTAGTTTACATTCCCACCAACAGTGTACAAGGGTTCCTTTTTCACTACATCCACATCAACATCTGTTGTTGTTGTTGTTGTTGTTGTTGTTGTTGTTTATTGCATTTTAGGTTTGGGGGTATGTGTGAAGAACATGCAAGATTGTTGCATAGGTACGCACATGGCAGTGTGGTTTGCTGCCTTCCTCCCCTCACCTGTATCTGTCATTTCTCCCCATGCTACCTCTTCCCACCTCCCCACCTCCCCGTTCCTCCCCCATTTCTCCCCGACGGACCCCAGCGTGTAGTGCTCCCCTCCCTGTGTCCATGTGTTCTGTTGTTTTACCTTTATTTTATGCGAAGAGAGAAGTCAAGAGAGCGTCATGTTGGGCACTTCCGCTGCTATTCAGCAGCAGTGCTTGGTGCTTGGAGAGAGACACTCGAGTTTGGGTAGACGTCTGGGAGGTTCACTTGATCTCCAAAGACCCCTGTTACGTTGTGTTGGGCGGTGGATCCTGAATCCACCCAGAGAAGCCTGATACCAATAACATCCCCGCTTGTGTTCCAGGAGCCCCTTGGTCTTCATGTCTTTGGTGTGTGCACTCTTGAACATGTGCCAGGCACAGGGGGTGCATGACGACAAGCCTAATATTGTCCTGATTATGGCCGATGACCTGGGTATTGGAGATCTGGGCTGCTACGGCAATGACACCATCAGGTATGGCAGGTTCATGGCAAATCATACGCTCATCAGTTGTTCAGGGTCGGCAGGCTGACAAATCGTTCCACTGCATCTACGTGCAAAACCAAATGGATTTGTTGGGATTTTTTTGTTGTTGTTACTTTAAAGTTTCTGATAGTTTAAAATTATTTAGATTATTTGTCTTACAATTGCATTTTCAATAATTTTAATTTGAATCTCCTTCAGTTTTTAAACTTAAGAAGTAATATTTGTCCATCTTCACAGGGCACACAGTGAAGTTTGGATACATACAATGTAGAGTGATCAGATCAGGATAATCAACGTATCCAGTGTCTCTAGCATGAACTAGGATGGTCATAGTAAAAGCATGGCTGTCTGGACCCGAGTCTGACTCTGCACTTACTAGCTCTAAAGTCTTGGAGAAGTCACTGAACTTCTCTGTGCCTTAGTTTTCTTATTTGTCGAATGCAGAGAAGAGTTTATACCCCTGAGTTTATATATATAAAGAACTTAGAATAGTACCTAACACACAACTACCCTTGATCCTACAGTCTATTATGAAGCATGATGATTGTGTATATGTGTATATATACAGATATGAACATATAAATGTAATTATAGAAATATATGTGATATATTTCATATATGAATATCAAATCACATGAATATAATTGTAAGAAATAAAATCATATAAAATATAATAATATAAATATCAAAATATAATGATATAAATGTAATTATATTTATATATATTTATATTTTTGTATTTATATAGACATTTATATATGTATCTGTGGGTATATAATGAATATATATGAATATATTCTATGATGTATAAAATATATATTATACATTTTTTGTATTATATAGCCATATATTATGAATATATGTTCAATATATAAACATATGAATATATTTATAATATATAAATGTATATTATATATTACAAATATATTAATATGTTATTCATATATACATGAATATATACATATTATATATGTCTGTGAATATATATTCATTTATATCAATATAAATTTATATACATTTGTGTGTATTTAAATAAATCTATAAATATATTTATATATTTTATACAAATATATGTAAATAAATATATGTAAATATATTTATATATTTTACACAAATATTTATATAAAATGAATATTCATACCTATTCATAATATATAAAAGTATATACTATAAATATATATTCAGATATATTCATTATGTATATATATTCATATTCATAATCTATAAACATATATGTTTATATATAAACATATATATTCATAAATATGTATAAATTAATAAATATATAAATGTGAATATGTATATTCAGTAGAATCCATCATTCTGTTTCCTAATTTGGGGAGGCAACAGATCCTCTAAGGTGACGAGCTTATATCTTTAACAATGGGCATTCTGAAAGAAGAAAAACAGATATGAAACAAAAACTCAGAGCTTTGTGGTGGATGGAAGCCATCTGTATTAGCCGTGCTTAAACTGAGCTTAGGAGTATGTCATTACAAGGCATACATCATACACTTTTAAGATCATTATGTCGTCTGACTAACAGATGCTGAAGGTAGTCGTCACAGTTTTGGACAACAGAGCTAGGAGTCAAAAGTCGTCGCCAAAAATTAACCATTGCTTATGAGAAAAGAAGGGAGGAGTCACCCAACAGCACAGAAACGGTGTCCATAAATAGCAGATACTTACAGAGAGGATGTTGGCGTGGGGTACCGCTGTTTTCTGAAAACATTAGCAATTCAAGAAGTGAGATTATAATGCAAAATCTAAAACCAGGCACATATGCCCCAGGAATGCAGTTTACAATTTTTTTTTCTTTGCAAAATAAATAATGGTTTAAAAGTCGATAGGTGATTTCCAGTATCTGGGAAAAAAAAATAGATAAACACCTTGGTAAAGCTGGAAATTCTTCTTGCACTATTTACCTGTTCAAGAAGAATTTCTAGCTCTACCAAGGCGTTTATCTATTGTTTTCTCTCATGAATAAATAATGATTTATTTATTCATTTATTCTCTCATGAATGAATAAATAATTTCTCTCATGAATAAATGTAGAATTTGTCACATTTTATTTTCATCCAAGAGGTGACTGATTCTTTTCCCAGAAGTCTCTGCAGCCTCCAGAAATCTCCTGTTAAATGATTTTTTAATGGACGAATTATAGTGGTGTGTATTTATGGTGTACATCATGATGTTTCGATTCCCGTATCCATTGTGGAACAGCTAAACCAAGCTAATGGACATGCACAGCCTCACAGACTGATTTATATGTAGTGAGAGTGGTTAGAATTACGGCAATTTGAAGAATAGAATACATTGTTGTATCTGCAACAGATCTCTTAAATGTATTTCCTCTATGTGGGGAATAGATCAAGCAGATCTTCACATTTGGCTATACGAACCGTGGTATTCTTTAACCTACCTGTTCTCAACCCTCACCCTCGCCCCTGATGCCCACCATTCTACTGTCTACTTCTGAGTTTGATATTTCTTGACTCCACACGTAAGCGAGATCATTCAGTATTTGTCTCTCTGTGCTTGGCCCATTTCATTTAATCTAATACCCTTCCAATTCATCTGTGTTGTTGAAAATGATGGGATTTCCTTCTGTTGAATATTTAATCATGACTGCAGGGGAATGTATCTATCAAACAGCCGGGTGGGTGGACCCCATCCCTAGGTCTGTAAGTAGTTAAGCATAAGTATGGTCTGTAAGCAATTAGCCTCGATGAATCAGACCCCAATCCCTTAAGCATTTTATTTTGTAAGGCTGCCGTACAGTGAATAGACACCATATAGCAGCACCCAAGTATACCAAGCCTGCAAAACCACAGCTGCCTGCAATCCCAGTCCCATTTCACCTTGACACAGGCAACAAAGAAAAAGGAGCTCTGTGTGCGGTGACCCGCTCTGGGCACCTGGAAATCACAATGAACAGAGATGTTGTTTATCTTCAGGTCTCTCTCTCTCTCTCTCTCCTCTCTCTGTCTTGCCATCTCTCTCTCTGTCTGTCTCTGTCTCCCCACCCCGGTCTGCTTGTCTCTCTTTCTATCTCTGTCTCTGATTGTCTCCCTCTGTCTCCCTATCCCTCTTTGTCTATCTCATTCTATCCATTTCTTTCTCTTTCTCTCTCCCTCTCTTTTTCCATCTCTCTCTCTCCATCTCTCTCTTTCTGTGTCTCTCACTCCGTCTTACTCTGTTTCTCTCTTTTCATCTCTCCCTTTCTGTTCTGCCTCCCCTCACCTGTCTGTCTCTCTTTTTCCATCTCTTTCTGTTTCTCTCTGTCTCCCTCCCTCTCTTTATCTTTCTTTCCATTTCTTTCTGTCTCTGTCTCTTTCTCAATCTCTGTCTCTTTCCATCTCTCTCTTTGATTTCTGTCTCTTCCTCTCTCTCTTTCTGTTTGTCCCTCTCTGTCTTCCTCTGTCTCCCTCTTTCTCTGTCTCTCTTTAATCTCATTTTCTCTATCTCTCTTCTTCCCTTTCTCTTTCTCTCTCCCTCTCTCTTTCTGTCTCTCTCTCCTCTCTCTCTTTCCATCTCTCTGTTTCTCTCTGTGTCTTACTTACTCTCTGTCTCTTTTCGTCTCTCTCTTTCTGGTTGTCTCTTTCTGTCTCTCTCTTTCTGTCTGTCTTTCTCTTTCATCCTTTCTTTCTGTCCATGTCTCTCTCTCTGCCTCACTTTCTGTGCCTGTCCCTGTCTCTATCTGTCTCTCCTCTCTCTTTCCACTTCTGCCTTTCTGTGTGTCCCTTTGTCTTTCTCTTGCTCTTCTCTGCTTTCCCCTCTCCTTCTCTGCCTTTTCCTTCTCTCCAATACACCTTCTCTCTCCCCCTTCAGGACTCCTCACATCGACCGCCTTGCCAGGGAAGGAGTGCAGCTGACCCAGCACCTCTCGGCTGCCTCCCTCTGCAGCCCAAGCCGGTCCGCGTTTCTCACGGGAAGGTACCCCATCCGATCAGGTGCGCAAACTGGAGGCTCTGCTGGACTCTGCCCTCATGTTAGGATGCGAGGAGATACAAATGTGGCTTGACTACCTTAACAAGTAAAAAAAAGAACTGGGCACGATGGCTCACACCTGTAATCCCGGAACCTCAGGGGGCCAAGGGAGGAGGATTGCTTGAGCCCAGGAGTTTAAGACCAGCCTGGGCAAGAGAGCAACACCCCATCTCCACAAATCTTTTTTTTTTTTTTTTTTTTTTTTTTTTTTTTTTCAAATTAACTGAGCATAGTCGCATGTGGGAGGGAGGCTGAAGTGGGAGGATCACTTGAGTCTAGGAGTTTGAGGCTGCAGTGAGCCATGATCACACCATTGCACTCTAGCCTCGTTCACAGAGTATGTCTTAGAAAGGAAAAAAAAAAGAAAAAGTACGAAGGAAAGGAAAAAAGCACACACGAGCATAGATGCACTGGCATACGCAACGACCACCATCCACGTCAAAATCATTGTGCTTCAAATAGATGCAGCGCCACCCTGCGTGAATCAGTTGTCTTCGGACGCAATGACAGCCTGTTATCTGAATTCCAAGTCACTGGGTATACGTTTGTGTTTCTCAGGTCAAGAAAAAGACGCTCTCTTGGAATGAAGTAGTTACCACAGCATGGGTTTACACATGCAGTCTCTCACCACAAAATATCTTTTTTTCCTTTCTTTCAAACCACAGAGTCATAAACCAGGAAATAGCTATGAGATTTTGGACAACTTTCATCACAGCAGGTTACCCATGGAGAGAGTAGGATTATCCTTTTGCTCAATTTATATCAATTTCATTTCATTTATTTATTATTATTATTATTATTAGAGACAAAGTCTCGTTCTGTTCAGGATGGAGTGCAGTGATGTGATCTCAGCTCACTGCAACCTCCACCTCCCAGGTTCAGGCAATTCTCCTGCCTCGGTCTCCCGAGTAGCTGGGATTACAGGCATGTGCCACCATGCCCGGCTGATTTTTGTATTTTTAGCGGAGACCGAGTTTCACCATATTGGCCAGGCTGGTCTCGAACTCCTAACCTTGTGATCCACCTGCCTCAACCTCTCAAAGTGCTGGGATTACAGGCATGAGCCACTGTGCCTGGCCTATTATTATTATTTTTGAAATGGAGTCTCCCTTTGTTACCCAGGCTGGAATGCAGCAGTGTGCTCTCGGCTCACTGCAACCTTTGCCTCCTGGGTTCAAGCAGTTCTCCTGCCTCGGCCTCCTGAGTAGCTGAGATTACAGGCATGTGTGACCAGGCCCAGTTAATTTTTGTATTTTTATTAGAGATGGGTTTTTGCCATGTTGGCCAGGCTGGTCTCGAACTCCTGACCTCAGGTGATCCGCCTACCTTGGCCTCCCAGAGTGCTGGGATTATAGGCGTGAGCCACCGCACCCAGCCATATATCAATGTTAGATAAAATAAAAATGAAATGAGAAGAAGAAAATTATCCTAAGCTCTAGTTGTCATGTTCTTGTCACTTTTTAATTTATGATTATGATTTTGAGACACGGTCTTGCTCTGTTGTGCAGGATGGACTGCAATGGTGTGATCACAGTTCACTGTAGCCTCAACCTTCCAGGCTTAGGTGATCCTCCCACCTCAGCCTCCTAAGTAACTAGAACCCCAAGTGTTCACCACTATGCCTGACTCATTTTTTAATTACCTGTAGAGACAGGGTCTTGCTATGTTGCCTAGACTGGTCTTGAACTCCTGAACTCAAGCCATCCTCCCTTTTTGGCATCCAGAAGTGCTGGGATTACAGGCATGAGCCACTGCATTCAATCTGGTGACTTTTTTTTTGTAGACAGGGTCTCCCTTTGTTGCCCAGGCTAAAGTGCAGGTCATTGCAGCCTGAAACTCCCGGGCTCAAGCAATTCTCCCTCCTCAGCCTCCTGAGTAGCTGATGTTATAGGCACTTGCCACCACGCCTGGCTAATTTTTGTGTTTTTGGTAGAGACAGGGTCTCACCATGTTAACCAGGCTGGTCTGGAATTCCTGAGCTAAAGTGATCCACCCACCTTGGCCTCCCAAAGTGCTGGGATTGCAAGCGTGAGCCACCGCGCCAGGCCGAAATTAGCTATTGTAAAGAGTGCAATTCATTGAGCACTTTCCCAATATTCTACAGCCATCGCCTCCACCAAATTCTAGACCATTCCCATCACCCACAAAGGAGATCTTGTCCCCATGAAGCAGTCACTCCCTATTCCGCCTTCTCCCAGCCTCTGATCACCAAGAATCCACTTTCCCCTTTTATGTATTTGTCCATCCATTCATCAACTGAAGGGCAGCCAAGACGTCTCCACCCTTTAACGATTGTGAGGAATACAGCTATGAACTTAAGTGGGCAAGTTTTTCTTTGAATACTGTTTTTTTTTTGTTTGTTTGTTTGTTTTTTTTTTTTTTTTTTGAGATGGAGTCTCACCCTGTTGCCAGGCTGGAGCTCAGTGGCATGATCTCAGCTCACTGCAACCTCTGCCTTCTGGGTTCAATCGATTCTCCTGCCTCAGCCTCCCAAGTAGCTGGGATTACAGGCATGCGCCACCAAGCCTGGCTAATTTTGTATTTTTAGTAGAGACAGGGTTTCACCGTATTGGTCAGGCTGGTCTCAAACTCCTGACTTCAGGTGATCCACCCGCCTTGGTGTCCCACAGTGCTGGGATTACAGGTGTGAGTCACCACATCCACCCATATGGTTCTATTTTTAAAGGTGAGGGAAGTGGGCTGGGGGCACAGTGGCTCACACCTGTAATCCCAGCGTTTTGGGAAGCCGAGGAGGGAAGATAACTTGAGATCAGGAGTTTGAGACCAGCCTGGCCAACATGGTGAAACCCCGTCTCTCATAAAAATGCAAAATTAGCCAGGCATGGTGGCTCACACCTGTAATCCCATCTATTTGGGAGGCTGAAGCAGGAGAATCATTTGAACCTGGGAGGCAGAGGTTACAGTGAGCCGAGACTGTGCCACTGCACTCCAGCCTGGGTAGCAGTGTGAGACTCCATCTCAAGAACAAAAAAAAAAAAAAAAAAAGAGAGAGAAGAGAGAGAAGGAAAAAAAAAGTGAGGGAAGTGGTCTTGGCTTGTAGGCACAAATGCTGCACTTTAATGTCAGATTATATGGATTCCAGACACTGGTTCTTGGAGGCAGAATAAAGTCTCATGTATCAACCCTACTGCCAGACTGCTGTCACTGACTTTGAGCAAGAAGAAAGAAAAGGTCTTTTCTGTCACGCACCTGTAATCCTAGCTACTCAGGAGGCTGAGGCAGGAGAATTGCCTGAACCCGGGAGGAGGAGGTTGCAATGAGCCGAGATTGCACCACTGCACTCCAGCCTGGAGACAGAGTGAGACTGTGTCTCAAAAAAAAAGGAAAGGAGGAAAGGTCTTTTCTTAGTTCATTTGGGCTGCTATAACAAAATCGCCATAGACAGGGTGGCTTTTCAACAACAGACATTAATTGCTCACAGTTCTGGCGGCTGAGAGTCCAAGATCAAGGCATGGCAGATTCAGCATCTGCTGAGAACCTGCTTCCTGCTTCCCAGACGGCACCTTCTCTCGGTGTCCTCTCGTGGTGAAAGGGGTGAGGGAGCTCTCTGGGGTCCCTTTTATAAGGGCACCAATTCCATTCTTGAGGCTCTATGCTCCTGACTTCATCCCCCCCCTGAAACCATTACCTTGCAGATGAGGCTTTCAACGTGCAGATTTCGAAGTGACAAAAATATTTCCTCCATAGCAACACCAACTCGTTGCGCTTGTTTCCACACCACCTCTAGGTATGGTTTCCAGTGGTAATAATACACGTGTCGTTAAGAGTCTTGCAGCCCCCTCAGGCCTCCCTCCAAATGAGACAACATTTGCAGCCTTGCTAAAGAAGCAAGGATACAGCACGGCGCTTATAGGTAAGACACGAGAATGGGTGTTAGTCATTGATCCTAAGGTAATAATGTCCTTTGTTCTACCCTTGATTTATGACTTTCTTGGAAACACCGTATTTCACAATGTCTTATGTCCTGGCTCAGTGGTCATGCCTGTAATCCCAGCACTTTGGGAGGCCAAGGTGGGAGGATTGCTGGAGGCCAGGAGTTTCAGACCAGCCTGGGCAACAAAGAAAGATCCCATCTCTAAAAATGTAAAATTAGCTGGGCATGGTGGCAAGCGCCTATGGTCCCAGGCACTCGGGAGACTAAGGTGGGAGGATTGCTTGTGCCGGGAGTTCTTTCTTTCTTTCTTTCTTTCTTTCTTTCTTTCTTTCTTTCTTTCTTTATTTTAAGACAGAGTCTCGTTGTGTTTCTGTGTGTACGATCTCAGCTCACTGCAGCCTCCACCTCCCGGGTTCAAGGGATTCCTATTCCTCAGCCTCCTGAGTAGCTGGGACTACAGGCGTGTGACACCACAACTGACTAAATTTTGTATTTTTGGTAGAGGTGGGGTTTCATCATGTTGGCCAGGCTGGTCTCAAACTCCTGGCCTCCAGTGATCCGCCCACCTTGGCCTCCCAGTGCTGGGATTACGGGAGTTAGCCAGCACACCCAGTCTGATTCTTCATACAGCCCAGTGATAGGAGATGTTTTAAAATGAATATATTACAAAAATATAAAATTTGTCTGGCTCCGCATGCCCACATAGTCTCTCACCATGTATCCTGTCACCTGCCTCTTCATTTCGTTAAAACTGGACTACATAGATTTTTTTCTCACTGCAAAGATGATAGGAGTCCTCAGCCACCCAGCAGTTGGAGCTTCAACTACTATTCCTGTTTGGGAAGCCTGGGTTTCAGTTGGCATGAGAATAAGGTGCTATTTTAAATCCCTTCAATTTTGGTGACATATCTGCTGTTGATAACAGAAGGCGGTCTCCCTGGGCTGTAGTAGGAGCATTGCCTCTCTACCTACCCGCAGGGACTGAGTTTGGTGAAAGCACAGGCATTCTCGACGGGGCCCTTATCACATACAGGAACCGGTTAATATTCCTAGTAGATATACATTATCGCAGACTCGGAGGGTTTGCTGAGCACCCACATGCTAGCAGGACTCACATACACCCTTTGGTGATCATTCAGTGTGGTACGTTTTACTGAATAAATTCCTTACTTCAATCAGTTTTTAACGAGTGCCCTTAGGATTTTCAGCCAGCCAGCTATTCATCTATCCACGCTGGGTCCATCCTCCATGATTTATCTATAGTTATCATTGGTCGTCTCTCTGTCTCTCTTTCTCCATCCATCCATCCACCCACGTATCTCTATGCATCCATCTATCTATGTGTCTATTAATCGATCCATCTTCTATCATTTATCTATCATCTGTATATCTATCTACCCATCATCTGTCTATTCATCATCTATAATTTATTTATTCATCGACCCATTTATCTATCATGTACCTATCTATCCATCTATCATCTATCCATCAGTCCATCTACCCCTCATATCTATGTATTCATCTATCCACCCATGTATCTCCATCTACCTATCTATCTCTTCACTTTCTCAGCCACCCACCCATGTGTCCATCCATTCACCTATACATACATACATGCCCCATGTATCCATCCATCATTTGTTTCTATCGTATTTATCACATCTCTCTCTCTCTATTGATATTACATACACATATGTATATATAGATGCGTACTCCATAATTTATTTTTGTCCGTCATACCCTATCTGTCTATTCATCTCCCACAACACAGCTCTATTCATGCGTCTGTCTAATCACCCACTCATCTATCATTCCATCCATCCACATTCAAATAAATGATGAAGGCTAGATGGAGCTATACACTCTCCATCTAGCCATCATCGTTTAGTTGAATCTGTTCTCTCCTACCCTCTCCTCTATCCTGTCTATTTACCTACCTACCTATCTACCTACCTATATTTGTATCTATTTATATATTGATCCATCCATCCAAACACTCACTCTATCTCTATCATCTATCTGCCTACCTTTCTCTGTACATATTATCTATCTATCTATCTATCTATCTATCTATCTATCTATCTATCTATGTATCATCCATATGTATCTATCAAGCTATATCTATGTACACACCTATCCTTTCATCATATGTAACCTGCCTTTTCTCTATGATGTATCTATCTTTGTGGATACGACTTTGTCTTCTCAGTGAATGGGAAAATGTCTAGTTCACGTCCTTGAAAGAAAATAATGATTTTATTTTTCTCCCTTATTTTTTATCCTGTCTTGTCTTGTTGCTCACAACGAGACCTAAATAAAAACTTCCTCTATGAACTAAAGAAGAACAACAAAAAAAAACCCATGGCTAAGTGGAACTTGGATATTTTACACCAAGGACATGTCTCTGCCACTTTATTTGTGTGCCTTAGCTGGTTGTTTCCTGTGAAGAATGGTCACACGGTTCTTTGCAATGTGCTGGCATATGGTGACATATTGATGTGCAGATGTGTTTGTGTGTTTGGTTTTAGGCAAATGGCATCAAGGCCTGAACTGCGACTCCCGAAGTGACCACTGCCACCATCCATATAATTATGGGTTCGACTACTACTATGGCATGCCATTCACTCTCGCTGACGGCTGCTGGCCGGCCCCCTCTCGTGACATGGAACTAGCCTTTGAGAGTCGGCTCTGGCTCTGCGTACAGCTGGTTGCCATTGCTGTACTCACACTGACCTTTGGGAAACTGAGCGGCTGGGTCTCTGTTCCCTGGCTCCTGATCTTCTCCATGATTCTCTTTATTTTCCTCTTGGGCTATGCTTGGCTCTCCAGCTTCACGACCCGTTTATACTGGGACTGCCTCCTCATGCGGGAGCACGAGATCACAGAGCAGCCCATGAAGGCTGAACGGGCTGGATCCATCATGGTGAAGGAGGCGATTTCCTTTTTAGAAAGGTAAATGGAATAATTTAAAATACATGTAATCATGATAACGATCTCTTTTTTAAAAGGACCTACATAGATCAGTAGAGTGATTGTAGTTGATAATAATCTATTGTACAATTATAAATAGCTAAAAGAGAATAATTCAAATGGCTCTAGCACAAAGAAAACACAAATGTTTAAGGTGATGGACAACCCAATTACACTGGTTTGAAATAATAAATCATTTGTAATAATTCTTTACAAATTATATGAATGCATTAAATCACAAGATGTACCCTAAAACTATGCACATCTTTAATGCATTAATAAATATAATAGGGGATGATGGTATAAAAATATTGAGTTAGGAAATGGAATATTGCTGAATGGTGTAAAAAGTGTATTGAAGACCAGCTGGACTCTTCAGTTGGTACCTAAAGAGATAATGCCTTGTTTGGGCTCCTGTTATTAAAATCATGGTCTCTCTGTTGGCTCTGAAATATATATGTGGTCAGACTGTGGGGACAGACCCTAGTAACTCAAACTCACAAAATTTTTATGTGAATTTACAATGCATCTTGTCATCATGTTAATTTACAACAGGAAATATATACATATACAATATATATCTATATATACATACAACATATATGCATATATACCTATACATATACTATATATGTGTATGTATAGTATGTTTTGTAATATTTTTTGTTTGGTTTCCTGATACCTATAGATAGATATAGATATAGATGAATTTTTATATATTAGGGAATCAGACCAAAAAAGTAAATTGTCCATTGCATTAAGTCCCTGTTGTTAAAAAATCAAAAAAACCTACTTGGGGAAATGAAAATCAGAAGGCTTCTCTTTGAGCATGTGATACGTAAGGGCTGTTTCATGAATTGGATGAGGTTAATGGTCAAAGGTGATTGTTATCAAAATTTTCTGCCTCCAGAAATTTTCTTTAGAAAAAGTTGGTGGACACATTTTTCATTTGTTTTTTCCATATTGATTGAGGCTTAATCTTTACCAGTAGCCATTGTAGGATCTGGATTTTCAGGATGTAAGGTGTCTTGTGCACTCTGGTACACAGCTTTGTCCTTACCCTGTAGTCCAAGTGAAGGTAATAAAAATGTAGTCTGGCATTGGGCGCGGTTGCTCACGCCTGTAATCCCAGCACTCTGGGAGACCGAGGTGAGTGAATCATCTGAGGCCAGCCTGACCAACATGGTGAAACCTTGTCTCTGTTAAAAATACAAACATTAACTGGGAAGCTGAGGCAGGAGAATCTCTTGAACCTGAGAGACGGAGGTTGCAGTGAGCTGAGATCACACCATTGCACTCCAGCCTGGGCAACAGAGGGAGACTCTGTCTTAAAAAAAAAAAAAAGTTGTCTGGGAGTAATAAGGCCATATTTGCTCTATAGATGAGACTGAATGCTTGGTGTCACTTAGGGCAAATCCTTTTTTCCCTGGTATGTTTCCAAATGTGCAGAGTTCTATGAATTTTCACAGAAAGAGCATCAATATGCTGCAAGTTAGCACCAACCAATCTGAAAGTGTAAGGTAAGCAATCCTATTCTCTTCTGTCTGCCAGTTTGAGTCTTCAAACATTCTCACACGTTTCACCTATGACTCTGCATTAGTGCTTGAAGAACAGATCCTATTGTTCACAAAAGCCTCTGTCGAGTTTCAGAAGTTTCGTATGATCCACAGTAACATGATATTGAGTGGAAAAAACAATGGTGAACAGGAAATACAAAGACTTGGACAGTGTGACAATAAGCTCATGGATTAGGCTCATGAACACTAGAAAGTGTTTTTATCTGGATTCTCAGTGTATGAATCTCCTACAGTTGCTATAACGAATCACTATAGGGCAGAGTACAATGGCTCGCATCTGTGATTCCAGCACTTTGGAAGGCTAAGATAAGTGGGTCACTTGAGTCCTGTTGAGCTTCAGACCAGTCAAGACAACACACGGAGACCATATCTCTACAAATAATAATAATTTAAAAAATAGCTGGATATGGTGGCATGCATATGTAGTCACAGCTGCTCGGGAGGCTGAAGTGGGAGGATTAACTGAGCCAGGGATTTTGAGGCTGCAGTGAACTGTGATTGCACCACCGCACTCCAGTCTGGGCAATAGAGTGAGGTCCTGTCTCAAAAAAAAAAAAAAATACCACAAAAGTAGTGGCCTGATGCAGCATGAATTTATTGTCCTACTGTTCTTGATGTCAAAAATCCAAAATTAACCTCGTGGGGCTAGTTACTTCTGGGGATTCTAGGGCAGAATCTGTTTTCTGTCTCTGGTTTCTCGAAGCTGCCTCCATTCCTTCGTTTGTAGCATTTTGTTTTCTGACTCAGATCCCTCTGTGTCTCTCTTATGAAAGGACCTTTCTGATTCCACTGGATCCACCCAGATAATCCAGATAATCACCTCATCTCACAATCCTTAATTCATTCCCTTTTACCATGTAATGTCACATCTTCACAGGTTTTGGGAATTAGGATGTAGCTGTCTTTCGAATGGGACGTTATTCAGTTGATCACTTTGACCATGACTCTTCATTTTGGCAGCTCAGTTTGGGTTGCAAACTATTTAATTTTAAATCTTTAATGTTCAGAGTTGTGCTTCCTCTGTAGGCTCTAAGGGGGATTCTTCCTGCCCCTCCCCACTCCTGGTGGCTCTAGGCATCCCTGCGCTTGTGGCTCCATCACTCCAGTCTGTGCTTCATCTGCATATGGCCTTTCCCTCTGTGTCTGTGTCTCGTGTTTTTTTTTGTTTGTTTGTTTGTTTGTTTTTAAAGATGGGGTTTTACCATGTTGGTCAGGCTAGTCTTGAACTCCCAACCTCAGGTGATCCGCCCACCTTGGCCTCCAAAGTGCTTGGATTACAGGCGTGAGCCACCACGCTCGGCCCTCGTCTTAAGTCTCCTATAAGGACAATGGTCATGGGATTTAGTGCCCATCCTAATTCCAGGATGTCCTCATCTTCAGATCCTTAACTAATGACCTCTGCAAAGGTCCTTATACCCAAATAAGGTCTCATTTCAAGTTTTGGGCTTCAAATATATGGACATATCTTTCTGGGGGCTACTATTCAATCTACTACAATTGTATCCAGTTTCTTCTGGAGGCTCTAGGGGAGGATCCTTTCTGCCTCCTCCATCTCCTGGTGGCTCCAGACGTCTTTTGGCTGGTGGTCACATTACTCCATTTCCACATGGCCTTTTCTTCTGTGCTTGTGTCTCCTCTTCTCTTACAGGGACAACCTTACTGAATTTGGGATTCATCCTAATCCAGAATGATCGCCTCTTAACTAATTAAATCTCCAGAGGCCCCATTTCCAAATAAGGCCCCATTCTGAGGTTTCAAGTGAACATAAATTCTGAGGGGTCACTGTTCAAGACACCATGACACAAGTCTTGTTTTTTAAATTCATTTCTTTTTCTTTTTGTATATTTTGATATCTCGTCAGGGCAAAAATTTCCCAACAAATGGCATTTGTGGTGTGTGCTTCCTAGGTAGCTGGGGACTTATCATTCATGCAGATGGATTATCAAAATTAGAAGTGGGCCAGCCTAGTTCCCTGTATCCTTATGTGAGAACCTACAGTGTGCAAATGCCAAGGCATTTCTGTTTGTACTGGCTTATGGCTCATGAAACTCTTGATCTTGCTAAGAAATGACTTCCATACCACTATCTCTTGATGTCTCTCAGGGTGTGACTGCAGTTTGAGGCTTCATGAACAGTGAGAACATCAACCAAACAGAGCTAGATTTGACTTTTTGCACTCTCATGATATGGGAGGTCTGTGTTGGCTTGCAGGATATTCTACAGCTGTCCTGGCATCTGAGAATCAAAAGAACAGTGATGGTGCCACAGGACTACCAGGTTCATGTGCCTGCTGCACAGTAACATACCAGTACACTGAGACAGCAGGGTTTACAGCAGAGAAAGAGTAATAGTTTCAGGACAATTAGTGCAAACATGAGAGGAGACCTCAAATCTTTTTTTTTTTTTTTTTTTTTTTGAGTCAGAGTCTCACTCTGTTGCTCAGGCTGGAGTGCAGTGGTGCAATCTCAGCTCACTGCAACCTCTGCTTCCTGGGTTCAGCAATTCTCCCACCTCAGCCTCCCCAGTAGTGGCGATTACATGAGCCCACCATCATGCCTGGCTACTTTTTATACTTTCAGTAGAGACAGGATTTCAACATGTTGGCCAGGCTGGTCTCAAACTACTAACCTCGGGTGACCTGCCTGCTTCAGCCTCCCAAAGTTCTGTGATTACATGTGTGTGCCAATGTGCCTGGTCTCCAATCTATCTTTTCAAGGTTCTGGGCTGGGTTTTTTAGGGAAATCATGGAGGATCTTGGGGTCACTGATAGGTTGGGGTAAGAGGGAATGAAATCATCAGAATATAGAAACAGCATGCTTTGTTAAGTCAGCTTCTCATAGGGTCCTTTAAAGCAGCTGACATCAGTAGTTTCCCTGGTATGCAGGACCTGAAAGGTTACCGCAAATGGAAAACTTAACATTTCATAATGTTATGTTATCATCCTGTAGCAGGGTCTATGTGATTCTAGGACAAGTAGGAAGACATAGATTAGAGAGCAAACTGACCCCCTCCCTTCCTCTCTGATTGACTTTATGAAGTTTATAGAGATGGTTTCAGTAGCATCACCAAAGGGGTTGGGGAGCAGTTGAGGTGCTGGAGGATCTTGGAATCCATTTCATGCAGGATGGGGCCCTTGGGTGGACCCACTCTATCTTCTGCAGCATGGAGAAGAAGGAAAGACGTCATGTCTGCGAGAAGCCAAAACGCATTGTTGTTCACATTCATAGATGTTGAAAATTCACAAGTCATGTCACTGATGTCTTCTCAGGCACCGTGAGGGACCTTTCCTCCTCTTCTTCTCCTTTCTTCACGTGCACGTACCTCTCCCCACCACAGACGATTTCATTGGCACCAGCAAGCATGGCTTATATGGGGACAATGTGGAAGAAATGGACTCCATGGTGGGTAAGTCACAGCACCTAAGTGGACAGAAACTCACATGTTCTGATAGTACAGGACACCTGAAAACTGCTCTTGATCAACATGTGGAGTGAAGAGAATTATGTCCACGGGACAGGGTTGGTCTGAGACTTAAGTGAGCTAATAGTTGCAAGCAATTGAGAAAGTCAGCAAAATACCATAAGCATTTCCTCTCCTTTCTTTGCATGCCATCCACTTATGAACTGGGGTCTTTGTCTACTTGACTGCATCTCCAGTGCTGGCCAGACCACAAATTAGAGCTTCTTTTTCAAATTTTCAACTCTCATTTTAGATTCGGGGAGTACTGTGCAGATTTGTTACCTGGGTGTATTCTGTGATGCTGAGGTTTAGGATATGATCAAACCCTTCACCCAGACACTAAGCATAGCACCCAATAGTTAGTGTTTCAACCCTTGCCTCCTCCTTCCTTCACCCCTCTAGTAGTCTGCAGTATCTATTGTTCTGATCTGTGTGTTCATGTATACTTGATGTTACGCTCCCACTTATTTTGTTTTGTTTTTAAAAATAAATTTTATTGTGTATATTTAAGATTCACAAGGTGATGTTAGAAGATACATATAGATAGAAAATGATTACTATAGTGAAGCAAGTAGTAACCATTAAGTAATATACTTGAGTAATAGTAATAGAGTAAGCAAACGCATCTGTCATCTCACATAGTTACTTTTCTGTGACAAGATCAGCTAAAATCTATTTAACAGAAGTCCAGCTGAACACAGTGGCTCACACCTGTAATCCCAGCACTTTGGGAGGCTGAGGCAGGAGCATCACTTGAGCCCAGGAGTTTGAGACCAGCCTGGACAACCTAGTGAGACCCTGTCTCTATAAAAATGCAAAAATTAGCTGGGTGTGGTGGCATGCACCTGTAGTCCCAGGTACTCAGGAGACTAAAGCAGGAGGATTGCTTGAGCCCATAAATTGAGGCTGCAGTGAGCCATGATCGCACCACTGCACTCCAGTCTGGGTGACAGTAACTCTCACTTATAAGTGAGAACATACAGTACTTGGTTTTCTATTTCTGCATTAATTTACATAGAATAATGTCTACCACCTGCATGTATGTTACTGCAAAGGATATGATCTTGTTCTTTTTTATGGCTATGTAGTATTCCATGGTGCATATGTGCCACATTTTCTTTATCCAATCCACTGTTGATAGGTACCTAGGTTGATTTGTCTTTGCTGTTGTGAATACTGCTGGATGAACATATGAATGCACATGTCTTTTTTTTTTTTTTTTTTTTGAGACAGAGTCTTGCTCTGTTGCCAGGCTGGAGTGCAGTGGCACAATCTCGGCTCACTGCAACCTCCGCCTCCCGGGTTCAAGCAATTCTTCTGACTCAGCCTCCCAAATAGCTGGGACTACAGGTGTGTGCCAAACGCCCGGCTAATTTTTGTATTTTTTTTTTTTTTTTAGTATAGATGGGGTTTCAACATGTTGGCTAGGATGGTCTCGATCTCTTGACCTCGTGATCCCCCTGCCTCGGCTTCCCAAAGTGCTAGAATTACAGGCATGAGCCACCACACTCGCCCTCCCCCCCACTTTTTTTTTTTTTTGAGGCAAGACCTCCCTTTGTCACTCAGGCTGAAGTGCCATGACATGATCTCAGCTCACTGTAACCTCTGCTTTGTGAGTTCAAGTGATTCTTCTGCCTCAGCCTCTTGAGTACCTGGGACTATAGACACATGCTACTGCACCCGGCTAATTTTTGTGTTTTTTGTAGAGGTAAGGTTTTTTTTTTTTTTTTTTTTTTTTTTTTTTTTTTTTTTTTTTTTATGTTGCCAAGGCTGCTCTTGAACTCCTGAGCTCAGGTAAATATGCCTGCTTTGGCATCTCAAAGCACTGGGATTACAGGTGTGAGTCACTGCACCCAGCCCACATATCTTTTTGGTAGAAAGAGAAATAATGTCTTTAGACTCTTTAGTGACATAGCCAACCTTTATTGCAGATCTCTTGAGCACCAAGATCTTAGTTGGGGTTGGGGACTAACTGGTAAGTCAGAATCCAGTACCCTCATGAACTCATCTTGTAGAGAGGACAATGTAAATGTGGTTTCCTAGGATTTACATGGTAAATATATTGATTAGCAAAATGGCTTCAATTTTCCAACATTAATGAAATAAAATCGTGAGTGAAACTCACATATGTGCAGGACACAAATTTAAAGTACAATATTTTCCAGATATAGATATTGCGAAATATATGTCACTAAATCGAAAGATACTTTGGAAAAACAAGCCTAGCAAAAGCAAAGCCAATTTGCATAGTCTTAAACACATAAAAATGTAAAATATTTAAAAATATGAATAATATTCAAACCAAATGCATGCACACGAATAGATGTTTATGTAGGTATAAGTGTGTATGTCTGTGTCTATAGTGTTTGTGTACATATCTATAGAAACAGATAGATGATTGACAGAGATAGATGATGGATAGATAGATGATAGGTAAATAGATGATAGATAGATAGATAATGGATTGATAGATAGATAGATAATGGATTGATAGATAAGCATAATTAGTTACACACATAGAAATATATTAGCTAAATATATAAATATATTAGCTGTATAAAAAATATATTTATTTATATATATATATATATAAAGTCTACAGTGTTTCTCTGTTGGATATATGTCCCCAAATTAAGACCTTTCCTTTTTGTTAAACATACTGCATTTCAAGACACAATGGATCAGCAGCTCCAATATCAATAACCAAAATATTTAGAAATAATTTTTCAAGCAGCAAATTAGTATCTTGAAGCTGACTCACGAAAGAAAACTTGAATACATGGAAGGGAAGAGTTATTTCAGAGTTAACATTGAAAACTAAGCTAGCTCTGATTAGAGCATTCATTTCTATTCTCTGGGGAGTGGTCATTATAGAGGTAATGATGAAATACACAGTGAATGAACTGATAGGAAATAAGGTTTCCAGAAACATGTGATCAGAAAGTCTTTGGCAGAAAACATCAAGAAACTCTTCTGTGATCATAAGAAATGCTATCAAAAAGAAAAGTACAGAAATTAAAACACAGAAATATGAGATTTGACTTTTAGATCAATGAAGCAGAAAATAATAGCCTTAGAGCAGGTCTGGGAAAAAGAAGGACGTTACATTAGGCACAATACGGTTTTTAAGTCAAGGTGGCAGGGGTGAAACATGTTGGGGAAACTTTGTGTTATGAGTTGACTTATGTCCCCCCAAAAAGATATGTTCAAGTCATAACCCAAGGTACATGAGCATGGGATCTTATTTGGAAATAGGGTCTTTGCATATAGAATCAAGTTAAGATGAGGTCATTGGGGGTGGGTCCTAATCCAATATGGTGAATTAGGATGAGGCTGCTACAAGCCAAGGAAGGCTGAGGACTGATGCCAACTGTCCGAAGCGAGGAAGAGGTAAGGAAAGATCCCCCCGCCATGAACTTCGGAGTGAGAGTGACCCTGCCAGCATCCTGATTTCGAACATCTGGCCTCCAGAACTGTGAGAGAATAAACGTTTGTTGTTTTAAGCCACCTCATTTGCACTAATATGTTTCAGCAGCCCAAAGGGATTCGAGAGTTGGTGTAGGAAAAACCATTACCAATTCAGCTAGCATGCTTTTCCATGCACATTAAGGACACTGAATGAAACAAAACAAAAACGAGAAGAAGCTATGAACAGTAACTTTACATCTGGATGAGGTATAGTGTTAGTAATAGCAGAAGGTTATGTGATAAACAGCATGACTAAAGGCCCTTTGCAAACTGAGGAGATACTAGCAACAACAAGGCATTGGTTTAACTCCTTAACAAATAAAGAGTTCTTATAAATCAATGGAAACACATAATTCCTCCCCAAAATATCAGCAAAAGCTAAACATCTTTTACAGATTAAAAATACAAATGTCAGAGTGGACACAGGAGGAAACCCATGATCATTCATAATTTATCATAATCACCTATCAAACATTAGACACTGATGAGGAATTGAGAAAATGAACTACTTTAATGCCAAAAGTTGTTCATTATGGCATTTTAAATTATGGCAAAGTATGAAAATTAACCAAAACAGTGAACAACAGTACAATGGTTAAACACTTCTCATCACTTGATTAAGTGGTATCTTCCAGTTTTCTCCACTGTAAAGTTACTTATTTTCTCATTACTTATTAATTTGAAATTATTAACTATTTTATGGGAGATACTTTGAGAGGAAGCCAATATCTTGGTTCTTATCAAACTTTCAGTGCCAGGTTTAGCATCCATTGATCATTTTCTCTTGGCTCAATTTTCAATGTGATTTTTGCTACAAGTACTGTGGTAACTTTTTTGAAGTATTTAAAAATATAAATTCTTTCTTAGTCTTGTCCTTACCTGTGTGTCTTGGCTCTAGAAAATTTCTAAGATATAGTATTTCAGGAACGTTAATGTAATGTTATCTGAGATAACCAACAGTAGAACACACAGAATTAGACACGTTTGTCACTAATGAGTTTTTCCATAATTATGTATAATACAGACTGGGTTTGGGAACTGTAGGAATTTGGCTATTTTCTTATAAAAATGATTGGAAATGTGGTTTACTTTGAGTATGTTCCTCCTCTTTTAACTTGCCCATTGAATCTGATTCTCCCATCTAGTCATCCTATTCTCTATTTAAAATATCAAATAAGAAGGGAAGTGAAATGGTTAGGTAAAGAATTGCTTACCTAAATCATCTGCAAGGATATATCAAATCAATTGTGTGAACCCAACAGTGGGAGTGTGTTATTCCTGCCTCTGTCTCCTCAAACTCTGTAACAATGTTTGCTTTCTGTGAGCCGAGACACATCAGTCAGAATACCACCACGGTCCTCTTCATATCCAGTGGGCAAAAAGGGATTTCTCTGTTTAATGTTTTTATTCTGCATGAAGGAAATGATCAAGGAGAATTTGCACTTTTAATTGATATTAGTAGCAACTGATGTTCATTTGTATTGCCATAATTTTTTCTGAAAGCAGTTTATCTCTTACAAATTTTGGACTCTGATTTTTTTTTTGTTGTTATTTTGTTTGTTTTTGAGATGGAGTCTCTCTCTGTCACCCAGGCTGGAGTGCAACGGTGCAACCTCTGCTCACTGCAACCTCCATCTCCCGGGTTTAAGCAATTATTTGCCTCAGCTTCCCAAGTAGCTGGGATAACAGGCATGTGCCACCACACCACCACACCCAGCTAATTTTTGTATTTTTAGTAGAGATGGGGTTTCACCATCTTGGCCAGACTGGTCTTAAACTCCTGACCTCATGATCCACCCGCCTCAGCCTCCCAAGTGCTGAAATTACAGGCATGAGTCATCGCGCCCAGCCTCGCAGTTTTTTTCTCTTTCAATGGTTTGTCCATTTAAACTGTTAATGCAGAGTCCTTTTCTTTTGTGGCTTTTGACATAGTAAGGGTCACATCATCCTTGTTTTCCTTTAGATAGCTCACGCCCATTTGACTTAGGGGTGAAATATTTCAGAGTGTCATTATTTTTACTCGTCTCTTTTATATTATTTTAGGCAAGATTCTTGATGCTATAGACGAGTTTGGCCTAAGGAACAACACCCTCGTCTACTTTACATCTGACCACGGAGGGCATTTGGAGGCTAGGCGAGGGCATGCCCAACTTGGTGGATGGAATGGAATATACAAAGGTGAGGAGAGCAACTCACGCATGTGATCAGGTGGTGAATAACCTTTTTGTGGTTGTTATAATTAAAGCCCACGACACAAAGGAATGAGGCATGAAAAACTGAACAAGTTTGTTTAATTTGACTCTTAGTAAAATGAAGTATTGAACCAAGGTCAAGAAAATTGGTCTTCTGTTAACGTTTCTGTGGAAAGAAGCCATGTATGTAGAGGGAGCATCTAGAAATATTCCCTTCTGACAACCCTACAAAATTATGAGGAGTTAGCACAAGCAGATGCCTTTATGAGGTTTTTAAAGGGATATCTACTTATTAATTCCATTTATGAGACTATTGAGAGATTAAATAAGGGGGCGTGTGGTTCCCAGAGAACAGAGACCAGAAACCAGGGA